GATTGAGCTCTGAGGAAAAACTCCATTGAATCAAATTGTTGAGTAAATCTCTATTAGTTGTGATCAAAATTGGATAAAGATTCCATTGCAATCACTTTTGAGTTTTGACTTTCAGTTCAATTGGAAAAAAAAATGGGCCTCATCTAATTTTTCTTTTTTATTTTATTTATTATTTAAAAATAATAAACATTTTAATTAAGTTAGAAAATGGGCAAACTTTTTTTCTCTAATGTATGTCAACAAGTCCATTTTCTCAAGCTTCTCTTTTTCAAAGTCAATTATCCCTCCTCTCTTTTGTTCTTTTTTTTTTTTCTATCATTGATGAAGCTAATTAATTCGACCTTATCTTTTAATATAAGGTTAAAATTTTATTTTATTTTTAATTTCTAATTATTAGAACTATGGTTTAATAAAAGAAAATATTCATTAAGTGAGAAAATATTGAAGTCTAAAGACAAAAGGAAAGAAATTGTTGTCAAATTTTCAAAACGCCAAATAAATTGGGGATGAAATCAAAGGGGCAAAGGCGCATGGCCCCCTATCTTTGCTCTTTGTCCCTTAACGAACGTAACGTTAAAGGCAAGGCCAAGGTGTAGGGGCCGAGCGCCTTATTGTAACTCTTTTTTTCTAATTTGTAATCCAATATTTTTTTTCTATGGTTGTAATGATCCTCTGGGTCATTTTTCTGAGTTGTACTCTCTCTGTTTCATTTTATGTGAGGTAGTTTGACTCAGCACGAAGTTTAAGAAAGAAAGGAAGACTTTTAAAACTTGTGGTCCAAAATGAATGGTAGAAATTTATGTGGCTGTAAATCATTTCATTAAGGGTAAAATAGACATTTTATTGTTAAATTGTTATTTAATATATATAGAAATGTGTTATTCTTTTTGGGACTGACTAAAAGGAAAATAAATCACATAAATATGATTTTTTTTTGCCATGCTTTAAAGTGAATGCTTAACTATTTTGGTGGAATGATCTGCGAGGCATGCTTTAAAGTGAATGCCTAACTATTTTGGTGGAATGATCTACGAGGCATGCTTTAAAGTGAATGCTTAACTATTTTGGTGGAATGATCATTTCGTTTGTAAGTTGGACTATTATACTTGCGATTTTGCCAACTGAACCTTTAAACTCACTGAAACACAATACTTCTTACCATTAACCAAACACATGTGACATTAATATTGTTGAGTTAAAATATTTTGTCATTCCATGCGTTTTAATATGAGTGAGTATAATATTCTCACATAAATTGGGACAGAGGGAGTATTATTTTTGGCGTTTAAAGATTTCTTATAGCGATTCCAAATCATTTATGACCTGCTTGAATTGTAACACCTCGCAAATGTATAGCTCAAATAAAATAAGGAAAAATGTAGAAAATTTGAAGTTCGCAGATTTTTGGGAATTACGGATCGTAAATTGAATTACGGATTGTGAAATGGGTCTGTAGATGATACTTCAAATTTTAGGAAAATTGAGTTAGTGTTCACGAGATGTGTTAAGGATCATGGATGTGCTTACGGGTCGTGAATAGGCCTCGTAGACCAAGTCCTGAAACCTCAGAGATTCATAACCCCAGATTATTTTCTACGAGCCAACAGTAAGAGTCGTACAAAGGACTATAAGTCGTGGTTTGGGTCTCGTAGGTCATTGTTCTGTAATTTCAATTTTATGTTTCTATGGATGCCCATGATGAGTCGTAAAACTTTCTATAGACCATAAAAGGGTCTCATGGATTGAAAGTTCAAAATCCAGGATTTCTTTTCTGATTTCTATGGACAGGATTCCAGGGTCCGTAAATGAAATCACGGATCGTAAATGTTCTCGTAGAGTTCTTCCGTCAAATTTTAATCAGGGTTATTTGGGTATTTTCTCACTATTTTAATTCTCATACTATGTCGTTTTGGCCTACTCTAAGTGAGTTTAGGTGGTTTCTAAAGACTCTAATGTCAATCCCAAATCAAATTTCTTCCCTCTCAAGTCTTCTCCCTCAAGCAAGTTAGGGTTCCAAAGTTTCAAGACAAGTTAGGGTTTCTACTTCAGGTATGTGAGAACTTCATTAATGGATTCTTCTTCACCCATTGAGTCCCAAAGAAACTTCAATTTCTTAAGTTATAATTTCCCTAAAACTAGAGTTTCTATTATTTTCACGAGTTCTTATTGAAATTTAGTTTCTTCTTCATGATTGATCTTCAATTGCATGATTTTGATTATAATTTAATGTTTTCAATGATATTTTCATGAACTCATAGCAAACAAGTATTTTTCATGATCAAGATTATGCTATTTTCAGTTGCATGTCTCAGATTTTCATGAATTATGATGCTTTTAGATAAAGTATCTCTCAGTATATTTTCATATATCATGATTTACATGCCTTCAGATAAAGTATCTGTCAAATTTGTTCAGTTATCATGATTTATAACCTATTCAGTATTTATCAGTTAACATGATTTAGTTGTATTTATCAGTTATTATGTTTTGTTTTTGTTGGGAGTATACTTAGCACCGAATGACCTTAGGGATGAATTTTTTTGTTTAGCATCAGTAGACCTTTAGTAGCAATCACTAAGTTCCAGAACTATACATGCCATCGTAGAATTTGTCTCAGATAGACATTAGCTAGTGGATCTACCTTAGCTCAGATACCAGGTTCTTACCTTGGCAAGTATTGAACACTCTATTTTTGATGTAGGAGAAGTACATTGAAATCAATTTAGTAACTCACATGGTTTATGTCGGTTTTAGTATCTCCCACAATCAAATTTTCAGTTATTGCATGACCTTGTACTTATGTATTTCAAATCAATATATCTCAGCTTCGTATTATTTTACTTAGTCATTGCATCAGCATGTTTTACAGATTTAGTATCTTCCGATATCATGTTGTTTATGCATTTTTCCATACTCAGTACATTCAAAATACTGACTGCATACTTTCTGCCAATATTGTTTGATAATATAGGTTCTGACACACATCTTTAGGCCCGTTGTTAGTATAAATCCGATCAGCTAGCAGACGAGTTCATGGGTCCTCATCTATCTGAGGATAACCTTTATGATTTTCTTTCGGTCATTACTTTTAGTTTTTAGACATATTAGAGTTAGCTAGGGATTGTCCTAGCAAATCATATTAGTAGAGGTTTTCAAATAGTCAGTTTTGATTTTCGCCAAGTATGTTGTCTTTTAGATTTTTTTTATCTCAGTTTTATGGGTTCATCCAGCCATTCAGTTTTAGCTTCCGCGTATATGTTTCAGTTTTCTATTAATTTTAGTAATCTTAGTGTCATAAATAAATTATAATTAAAATTTGATGAAAACATATATAAGATATTTAAAATTGTTTATGAAAAGTAATACATTTTGTATGTATAGTTATAAAATAGATGTATATAATTTGTCGGTTCGATTCAGTTATTTCTTTGAATTTTTTAAACAAAATCAAAACCAAATAAAATATTATCGATTTTAAAAAATGTAAAATTAAACCCAAATAAAATTGTTTTATTTAATTAATTTAGCTTAATTTAATTTTTTGATTTGAATTTATTTTTATCCAAATTGTGAACACCCCTAGTTGCGGCTCATGAAAATTGATGGTGACAGTTACACTCTAGGACGTTGAAGCTATTCTAATGAGGTATGTGGAAAAGGTAGAACTAATTAATTGGAAATTAAAAAAATTATTCTTATCCTTAATTCCATGTCCCCTAGTAGTGGACTTTCATTTGTTTATTAATTAGTTGGTAAACTTGTATGGTGCAATTGTAGTTTGTTAATTTCTCTATAGTTACTATGTGCCTCCTTATCACTCAAACTTATCTCTAGCTTTAACTTAATTCTATGCTGTGAGGATGAAATATATTTGCAACAATTACCATTCAGAGTGTTGAGTCATTTAGGCCATCCAAATACAAGAAAGCAAAAAATTAAAGCAAGGGCCTCTAACTATTCACAAAAGACAATTAAACCTTATTTGTTTCAAATCTTAATCTTAATTATTTCAGATCTAGTCATTAAGTTTGTTTATTATTAAGGTCTGAATCTTAATTATTAATATGTTTGTTTTCCTTATTTTACAACCACTTATTAATGAGTTCGAATGATTAAGATGTATGATAAAGTCTTAATATCACTAAGAAGTTTGTTGCATCTACTTTTAGCCACAATAATCACAACCTACAACCACTATTTCAACCGCAACTACTACCACCCACAACTACCATCATTGTCAATCACCACCACCTACCATCCACAACTATTATCCTCAATCCAACCACAACTATCACTACCGTGTATCACCAAAATCAATCATCACCACCATTAGCCACTATCATTAGCACTAACTATTATTACATCCACTAATTACTATCAGTAATTACCATCATTAGTCAACATTATATATCATTAACCACCATCATCTTTCATCACTATTATTAGCTATTAGTATCATTCCACTATTAATTATCAACCGCCTCAATCACCAATCACAATTAATCATTATTGCCAACCACTATACCATAAGATATTACCCACAACCATCATCATCAATTATACTATTATTCCAAATTGATGCACACAATCACCAACGTTAGTCATCACCAAGCACCACCAATTGCCATATAAAATTTCAAAATATTTTATTAAATATAATATTAAATTAATTTAATATTTTATTTAAATTTTATATTTATTATTTTTATCATTTACATACCATATAATTAATTTTATTAAATACTATTGTTAAAGTGAATGTCAATTCTTTAAAAGAAGACAATATGGATAAGATGACATGGTATATTTTATCCACTAATGAATTCAAAGTAAAAAGAAGAAAGACATTTTCTCAACCTCTAACTAATATCCAAATGCAAAGTTTACTCTTCTTACGCTCTCTCTCTCTCTTGCATTCACTCATTTATCTTTTTTCTTTCTCCTAGATTAACTCTCTTTCTCTTTTCTCTTTTTTTCATATTTCTCTTTGTTATTATTTGTTCATCATCTTCATAATAATTTATTTTGCCCTTTTAGCTTAGTCCCCCTAATACAAATGGGGAACTGTTGTTCAAGGGGCCAACCTAATGATGATGATCATATTATGAGTAAAGAAAAATCCAATGATGATCAATCAAAAAGTTGTAATAATTCAATTACACCAACAAAATCTCCTGACCCTTCTTCAAAACTATCTAAAAAATCCCCTATAGGTCTAGTATTAGGAAGACCAATGGAAGATGTTAGAAAAACATATTCCATAGGTAAAGAATTAGGAAGGGGTCAATTTGGTGTTACACATTTATGTACACACAAACAAAATGGTGAACAATTTGCATGTAAAACAATAGCAAAAAGGAAATTGGTTAATAAAGAAGATATTGAAGATGTTAAAAGAGAAGTACAAATAATGCATCATTTAACAGGTCAACAAAATATTGTTGAACTTAAAGGTGCTTATGAAGACAAACATTCAGTACATTTGGTTATGGAATTATGTGCTGGTGGTGAACTTTTTGATAGGATTATTACTAAAGGACATTATACTGAACGTGCTGCTGCTACTTTGCTTAGAACTATTGTTCAAATTGTACATACTTGTCATTCTATGGGTGTTATTCATAGAGATCTCAAGCCTGAGAATTTTCTCCTTCTTAATAAAGATGAGGATTCACCTCTCAAGGCTACCGATTTTGGTCTTTCCGTCTTTTATAAACAAGGTACGTAGATCAGTTTAACTTTTATATGCTGACAGATATAGTTACTATGCATGTCTATAGCACTAGTGCCTTAAAGGGGTCGTTTGGTATAAGGGATACTTAGTAATCCCAAGATAAATATACATTTTATCCTGCATTTGGTTGGGGTATCTCTGACTTCTTTAGTCACTTTTGCATCTGTTGTATTTAGCAATGCCAGTAGCCTGGTGAAGATTTAAGGAACCCGCTCATTGTATTGACCGGCCTAAAACCGTACTTGTCCCCGATGAAAGTCGGAATGAAACCTGTTTTCATTCAAAATCAGCTCATTCTAAGGATTAGTTAATCTATGGAATTAGCTTTTATCCCATCATTTCATGTACTGCAATGATGGGATAAGTTATCTCATATATATATTGGAATAACTTTATCTATTTCATCTCTCATACCAAACAAACCCTAATGGTACAGTGAAAGATAAATATTCAAACATTTGATAGTTAGCCAGGCAGGACCGATCAAGGAGTCGGTGTGACCTAGTGGTCAATAAGTGAAAATCATGAGAGATGCAAAGGGAACCTAGCATAGACAACACACTAGCCAGATCTTCTTATCTGTCTAAGTTCTGGTGGACAAAATTATCTGGTACATTGGCTAGTGATATGTAATATATAGGTATGCACATGAACTAGCTTGGACACAAATATTTGTCTGGTGAATAAAATTATTTGGTACATGTGTTAGTGAGATGTAACAGGTGTGCACACGAACTAGCTCAAACACTAATATTATATAGTAAAATTACAACAACAAAAAAAAGTAGTTAGTGCTCTTTATCTCATTTTTGTAAATATATTCATATTCCTCTATTAATATTCAATTTTTGTTTATAATTTTGTGTTGTACAGGAGATGTGTTTAAGGACATAGTGGGTAGTGCATATTACATTGCACCTGAAGTATTGAAGAGAAGATATGGTCCAGAAGTTGATATATGGAGTGTTGGGGTTATGTTATATATTCTTCTTTCTGGTGTTCCTCCTTTTTGGGCAGGTATTTATATATTACTATCATCACTCTCTTAATCAGAATCTCGATTTCGAGTCCTGGATATGGAAAAATTCTTGATAGAAACGGAGCCCTACCCGACACAAATCCGGATCAAGCACTTTAATTATGTAGGATAAAAATGCTAGTAATTAATTGTGTGTTAAATCAAAAGTAAGATTAATTAATTAATGAATGATGATTTTAATTTGTTTTTTCAGAAACTGAACATGGAATATTCAATGCAATTTTGCGTGGACATATTGATTTTTCAAGTGATCCATGGCCTGCAATTTCACATGGTGCCAAAGATATTGTTAGGAAGATGTTGACTTCAGATCCCAAACAGAGGTTGACAGCAATCCAAGTGTTAAGTAAGTTAAATACTACAGTATATGTTACTCCCTTCGTCTCATTTTATGTGACATTATTTGACTTGTCACGATATTTAAGAAAAAAAGCAAGACTTCTGAAACTTGTGGTCTATAACAATCCTTAGATATTTGTGTGACTGTAAATCATTTCGTTAAAGGTAATAGAGGAATTTTAAAATTAAATTGTTTCTAATTATAGTAAGATGACACTAGTTTTAAAACAGACTAAAAAGGAAAAGGTGTTACATAGAATGGACGTATAATTCGAACATGATATATACTGGAAAATAAATAAATACATATAGATGAAAAAAATCATAAATTGGAGCATATATTTACTTGATTTATGAATAAATATGTATATGAATACAGATCATCCATGGATCAAGGAGGATGGAGATGCACCAGATACACCACTTGACAATGCTGTTTTGAGTAGACTCAAACAATTTAGAGCTATGAACAATTTCAAGAAAGTTGCTCTCCGGGTAACGAATCTCTTTTTTTCTCTTTTAAATCGAAGCATATTAATCATTTAAAGTTGATCTATACCTGTTATGTCAAAGTAAAATTTGAAGATAATGAAACCCTTTTTTTCTCCTTTTAAATAGAAGTTCATTTAAAGTTGATGTATAGATATTACATTAAAGTGAAATTTTAAGAAAGTTACTCCCCAAGTAATAATCCTTTTTCCCACCCTTCAAAATAGAAGCATATTTCATTTAAAGTTGATCTATTCATGTTACGCCAAAGTAGAATTTCAAGAAAGTTGCTCTCTGACTAATGAAGCCTTTTTTTTCTTTCAAATAGAACCGTATTCATTTAAAATTGATGTATAAATGTTACGTCAAAAGTAAAATTTTAAGAAAGTTGCTCTCCGAGTAATGAATCCATTTTTTTCTCTTTTAAATCGAAGCATATTAATCATTTAAAGTTGATCTATACATGTTACGTCAAAGTAAAATTTCAAGAAAGTTGCTATCTGGCTAATTAATCCATTTTTTCCCTTTTAAAATATATAGAAACATATTTCATTTACAGTTGATGTATAAATATTACGTCAAGTAAAATCTCAAGAAAATTGCTCTCGGAGTAATGAATCCCTTCTTTCCCGTTTAAAGAGAAGCATATTAATCATTTCAAGTTGATGTATAGATGTTACATCAAAGCAAAATTTCAAGAAAGTTGTTCTCCAAGTAATGAATCCCTCTTTCTTTTCTTTTTTTAAATACAAACATATTTCATGTAAAGGTGATATATAAATGTTACGTCAAAGTAAAATTTCAAGAAAATTTTTCCTTGGATATTTTCAAGATCATGAAAAATTACATAAAATGTTGTGAATAAACTCTTCTTTTAGTATATATATATATATATATATATATATATATATATATATATAATTAAAATTTTGAGCAGACTCGTATCCAAGGTCATTCTAAACCTGTAAAGATATGGCTTTTTCTTTTTTTTATGTGAAGCCAAAATATTTACTTGGAGAGAATATATATTATAGGTTATTGCAGGGTGTTTATCAGAGGAAGAAATAATGGGATTAAAGCAAATGTTCAAAAGTATGGATGCTGATAATAGTGGAGCAATAACACTTGAGGAGCTAAAACAAGGACTTGCCAAACAAGGAACTAAATTATCTGATTATGAAATTCAACAATTAATGGAAGCTGTAAGTTCTCTAATTAATTTCTTTATGTCAAACACAAAATTATATTTTAATATTCATAACCTTTTTATCCTAAGTTATATAATCTAAGTGTTAGCTAGTCATTGCACTTACCAAGTTTACAATTGAATTAGTTTAGAATTTTTAAAAAGACCTAAAAATTTGGAATTTATCAATAGGTGATGTTGAATCGATTGATATTTAATTAAAATGGATATTGTTCTATTAATTTAAAAAAAAAGATAATTATTGATATTGAAAGACGGGACAAAATTTAAAATTTTATCGTCATTTTTTAAAAATTCATCTGAGATCGACTCAAGTAGTCGAGCTTTATAATGTACAGCAAACAACACCCAAAAAAATGGTTTGGAATATAAAATTGTATCACGACTACTTTACTCGAAATAATTTATATATATATATAAAAGTAATTAATGTAGAGAGTAAACCATGAAAAAAAATATTTTTTCTCTCGATATGTTAAAAGTGACACATAAAAATGAAAATATATTTTTAGTATAGTGCAAATGTTAGAATAAATATTAATTTACCATCTAAAATCTTTCAATTAATATCATGGAAAAAAAGTTGCAAGTTGCTTCTTTATTCTAATGTATTGTTTTTTTAATTTTATATACATTGAAAAATTAATAAATTAGGCTGATGCTGATGGAAATGGAACCATAGATTATGAAGAATTTATTACAGCAACAATGCACATGAACAGAATGGACAAAGAAGAACATCTTTACACAGCATTTCAATATTTTGACAAGGATAATAGTGGGTAAGTTTTATGTGTTTGTTTTATAGTAATTGAATTGGACTAAATATATCTGAATGATTAAAATTTATAATAATGTCTTAATATCATTGATGTTTATAAAAAATATCTTCAAAGATGACAATTCCTTCATTCAATTCATTCACCGATATCGTCATCACCCATCATTATTAACTATTGTCGTTGTTGGCCATCACCTCGGTCATAATCATCACTAGCTACCATTTACAATCATCACCACTAACCACTATTATAACTATCGACAATTATCATCATAGTCACTATATTATATATCACAAACCACTATCATCATTCATCATCACCATTAGCTATCACTATCATCCACCACAACTATTAACCGTCAAAACCAATATGTTAACAGTAATATTCAAACTCAGGCTCAACAATACTAAAAGAGCCTTAAGCAGCCACCCAAGAACCAATGGACTAGTCAGATCATTTGTTCATTGGGTACTCTATGCTATTTTTATACAAATACCTCTTAATTTCTACATAGATATACATATTTCGAGACGAGGTTAATGGGTGTTTGAGCACCCGACAGACTCCATGTGGGTCCACCCTTGCCAACTATACCGCCACTAACCACTACTGCTAGACACTATCATCACTAACTACTATCCACAACACCATCATTAGCTAACAGTACATTGTCCCTAATTGATACCCACAACACCAATGCTAGTCAGCACCAGCACCAACCACCATATAACTTTTTAATAGATATAATACTAGATTAATTTAGTATTTTAATAAATTAATTTTTTTTAATTTTTTTTTTTAAAAAAAGTAAATCTTATATATTCAAATATGGTCCAAAAATAAAAAGTCTTAATTATTTAATAGTCATTTCTTAAATTGTTTTTTTTTAACTTTTTGCTAGATTTTAATTTTTTAATTGTTTTTTTCCAATTTTTTCAGGTACATTACAGTAGAAGAGTTAGAGCAAGCTTTAAGAGAATTTGGTATGGATGATGGAAAGGACATAAAAGATATTGTTGCTGAAGTTGACTCAAATAATGTAAAATTTGAAACACTCCCATTTTTATCAGATTATCAATTAATATTTATCATAATTATTATATACGTATAATAACCATATAAATTAATTAATTATACACATATTTTTATATATTAATGCGTAAAACTTAAACTCTAATTATTTAATTCTTATTGTGCAGGATGGTCGAATTAATTATGATGAATTTGCAGCTATGATGAGAAAAGGAAGTCCAGAAACAACAGCAAATTTAAAGAAAAGAAGGGAGTCATTTGTTGTATAAATTTTCATTGTGAATATTTTTAAAAAAAAATCAAAATTAAGGAAAATAATTTTTCAAAGTCTTGGTATTTCATTGGAGAAAGATCAAAGACTTATTTTGTAAAAAACATTCATGATGTTTTAAAATTTCATGGATGTTTAATGTATATTATTACTATCATTTTTCCTAAAAACATTTTTTTTGAAAAAGAAATGAGAATTTAGAATTCATGAGTACTCTATTGGGATTTTGTTAAAGAGTTTAAAAAGTGCTTTTATTTCTGTATAAAATATAATATAAATCTTTTTGTTAATAGATAATTTTTATGCAAAAATTTGTGGTGCGCAGAAGAGCAACAATAGAAATTCAGTTTGTCACTTTTAGAAATGAAAAAAAATAATTCACCACAAATATATAATAATGCCAATGTTATTGACTAAATTTAGAAAAGAAATAAAGTTTTCTATTATTCATTATGAAACTCCAAAAAAGAATAGAATATTGGTCCAACAGAACTACTTGAGAAATGGACCTTAAATTAAATATATTATATAGGAAAAATTATATGGTCAAACAAACATATACTAGTTAATTAGTTATCATAGCTATAGTTTTAGTTAATTCTCACTCACGACTAACATTCAGTGTTAATCACGTGGGTTGGTGTTTCGAGTTTGTATAATTTGAAATTTGTATAATTTTGTATAATGTAATTTTGTATAATATAATTTGTATAACTATTTAAAGTTCAGATGTTTGTGTTTGTATAAATTCGTTATTTCGAGTTTATACAAAAATAATTCACTTATACAAACATACCCGCGAATTATACAAACGTACCCGCGAATTATACAAACAAGACAACTCAAATGGTAGCTATTGCGCATAAATAAGCAACCTACAGCTATAGAGCATAATTAAATTTATTATAATGACTATTTGCGAAAATTCCCCTATATATCAATATGATTTTACCAAATTCACATGAGATATTTAGATAAGATCGACGGATTATATCATGCAAATTCAACTTATTCGTAAGAAAATTTATTAGACAAGGATTAACGTCTCGAGTTTATGCAAACAACTTTTACCAAATCCTAAACAATTTTTTCGAATAAAATTAAGATATTAAACCTTTGATTAATGTTTGCAACGACCAACCAATCAAGACAAACAAGAAATAGTTTATACCCTTAATTCTCGAAAAGTATGCAATACACAAAAACTTATTTCCGCTACTTCCATTAAGAAAGTCATTTTCTTTATTTCTTTAAGAAACTTGTTTTTTCTAGAGAAAATGTTTTCAAAAAATTTTGACCAACAAAGCAATAAAAAATTTAAAACCTATTTTCCTCAGTACCAAACACACCCCAACTCTAATACTAAGGTAAGAAAATAGACCTTACATGATTTTTTTTTAAAAATAAATAAATCTCAGGCCTAACTCAACCACGAAGTTCAACCTTGCAGTGAGAATTACCCAAACACCATATACAAGGGGAGAACACTTCATCCCCTCAACCTATATGAGGCAATATAACAAAATTAAAAAGACAAGAACTTAAATTTCAACAATATATGAATGAGCTACCATCTGTACAAATAATTATCCACAAAAGCATTCAAACTGATTAATTGTTGACATAAAGATTCAAACCTTACAAACAACATTCAGAAAGTTAGACCAGTTACAAGTTTTACTTACTTAACATAAGCACTGCAAAAGTAAAATTACCACCACAAAGAAAGGATATTGACCTCAAACTCCAAGAGAGAAAGACACGGACGGATGATTTCAAGAAGAAGTTAACAAGACGGAGAGAGAGAGAGAGAGAAACGAAACAATTTGAGCAGCTAAATAGCACTGTACATAAATTACAGCACAGGAAGTGTCTCCAGCTTTCCTTTTTTTCCCACAGATGTTGGATCCTTAAGGAACCAACGGCATTTGATTATTCCCAGAGAATAGTTTGTTTATTGGAAAATGTCAATCCATTTCAACCGGAGCGCTTAGGATAACCTGTCCACAAAAGCTGTGACCAAAACCAACCCCATCCAATTATATGTAGCAAAAGAATGCTCTGAAGTAAACCAAACCTACTTAATGATCGCATGCACGAGGCAATAGATTGAATAGCCTCTCCCCAGTGAACTTTTGTGATCCATGTCCAAACCCCATTAGCAACGGAGCAATTAAATAATGATCACAGTGGCTCAACTCGCCACTTTCAGGAATTTGTGTTCTTCTTTTCTTCAAGAACAGAACCTTCCTTGAGTGCAATTTGTGCCTCATTTTCCCTTCCAAGTGCAAAAAGAGAAGCAGCTTGTAAATACGAAGCAACATGCCATACAGGAGATATTACTTGTGCCTGTACTGCATCATTGAGGGCTTCCTGTGGCATATCATTCATGAGATAAGACAGACTACGCCGTGCATACACAGTTGGGGAGACCATGGTTCCGACATCGATAAACTGCAAAACCAACCCAAGTATTAAATGAGTGATGCACTTTAAATAGATTAGATCTACTCTTCTAAGCACTCATTAATAACCTCGAGAACATATTATCATCTCTTTAGACCATTTTGTTACTTTATTGAATGTATAAAGTTTTAGACTACAAGCATTTGTCTCATCTAAGAACACACATCTGAAAAGTACCAACTCAGAACCTCAAGTTTGCAAGAACGATCTTGCTACTCATATTCAAACCCAAGTGAGATGATTAAAACTTAAAAGTATTATAACCCATGGCAACTGAACCTATCAAAGAGGACCGTGAATTTCCTACCAGTGTATAGCATTCGATGGCGGCCTTAGCATCTTTGTGCCTGAAAGCAGCATCACCCTTTTTCTTGGAGTTCAACGTTTCCTGCATCTGATTTGTCCACATCTGGAATGAAAGCTGCAGGCAACATTAAAAAAGTGTGGCTATCATGAGACATTGATAATTGGCTCCAAAAATGTACAATTACTTGGATTTGACTACCCATATGAACAAACAATAAGTTACCAAAAGAAAATTGTTTAACACCTAAGTAACTTCCTCTCCAAAGTGTCTCACATGTTGGAGAAGTGAGCACAATTATTGAATAGGCATTGGGAAGTTGAGGTAATAAGTAAAAGAAGTAAGTCATAAGTACATCATATTTTTCTCCACTGTTTCTGACTGTAGGGATGGCAACAGGGGGTTCACGTCTCATTATTTTTTTTTCCAGGTTAACATTTGAATTTTCCTTATCTTTTTTTTTCTTTAGAAGAAAAAAAAGTGGAGTAAATATATGAGTCCAGAAATTGGGACAGAATAATAAAAAGTTACTTATATAAATGAAGTTTCAAGACTACTGGTATATATAAACAACAAATTATGTGGGGCGGGTAGAAAACAACAAATTGTGCTATGCAGGGTGGACTGAAATATTAGCGGGTTTGCTCCGCAACCGCACCTCATCATTTGTGAACCCTATTTCTGAGAACTTCCTTTGCAACAGGCTATTTGTCCTAGAGGACACTTGTTTAGACAAAATTCAAATCAATTTGCTTTGAAAAATCCACTCATCAGGACAGCCTCTCAAGATGAAGGCACAACATTGATCTAATTTGATTTTTTTGGATGAGATTCTCTACTTATAACCTTTTGTAGCAGTTAAAATGTGTAGAACAACCTTCTTAAACTTTAAACAGCATCGAGAAGCTCTCTGGTTGTTAGGATTCCTTAATACGAGAGAAATCACTACGAACCAAATCATAGAAAAGGGATAAGAGGCAGGTGGAAAAAAATGTGAGGCCCCTTCTCATGCACACATGTAAAACAACTGCAGGGATAAGAGGATAAAAGATCCTCATATGGCATGAGGCTAAAAGTGTGACTCAATGTATTGAAGATAAAACACTGAAAGGGAATGTGTGTACAAGATGAGGACATCGATTCCTCAAAATAATTACTGATAGACAAACCTCAGTAGCTGCTCCTTCATCATCTTTGTACCCAAGCTTTTCTAAAATCTCATGGATGGCTGTTAGATCCATTCTCAAGCAGGCTTCACCAAGTGGAGACAGAGGCATGTTTCCACCATCACGTGAGATACCCATCAAAGCATGAGAAGGAACCTGCAAAACAAGTAACCAAAATGTCATTATGGCTAAATTCTATCGTTAATGTGATCTCTGACAATTTACAGTCAGTATAGAAAATAAATATTTAGGGACAATAATATAACCTAAAATGTTCTTACCTCATCCAAATTACTGTTTTTTACTAACTTAACTAATACAGACTAGGACCAAATTAACAGAGAATTAAATGCATTCACCAATGTTGCATCACGAGTGTACAATGGGCATCAAGCAATCCTCGTGTCTATTGTACAGATAGCTTTTTACAGCTTCAAGTGACACGATAACACCAGAAGAAAAGTGAATAGATACATAAAAGCATTAAATTAGGCTTTCAATATTGTTTTTGATAATCAAGAAATCCCCAACGGCCAGCTGGGATACGGTTCGAAACTAGCTGGATATTGGATCCCCTCTACCCTTCTCCACTTAAATGTCAGGATGTCAGGCCCTGTTCACAGCAAGGTTCAAACACACATTGTGTTCTTACTAAGAGACTGAATCCGTGGGAGCATTAGGCACTAAATATTTTATAATGGTATAGTTACAAATCATATTTTTCGCAACAAAAACTTGGAAATAGTACGCCACTGACGGCAATAACAACTTCCACACCCAATGTAAGGCACTTCATGTGTTAACCTTTAAAAAATTTCCTGTTCAAACAAACTGGAAATCACTGCAAATTTTTTTGTCAGGGAAATTTATGAGTGATCCCATTATAAATAACAAAAGGACATATCATAATCAGTGTGTGCTTTATTAGTTGTCACACACACCTAAAGGAATTCGGAATTCAGCCACAACGCCTCAGCTTCTGACTAACGACCATCCACAATATAATGTCTACCAAACTGCTTTATCATATTTACTTTCACTGTTATAGAGCTCTCAACAAAA